TCAGCCTCTACAGATAAATAAATCCCTCAAATACTTCGCCGTGTGCGAAGTATTAACAAATACACGTTGACCTTCAATCATGGTCAGGCCCCAGGCCTGTGGCGAAGCCGTGAATAATATATTCATCTTCGCAGCATTCTTTTTGGTTCTACCATGGTTAGTCGATGCTCAGCAGCAGCAGCGATCAGTTCTCAGGCAACATGAATCCTCGCCCGAGATCGGCAGTTCAGAGGCAATACGGACTCCTCTCGAAGCAACTAAAATAAAAACCATCGAGACTCCCCCTTTGATCATTCCACGAAGAAAACAAACTTTTAGCGTAAAGGCCGGATCTCACGATATAGTCGATGCGAGCGCCGATTCAGCACCATTAGCTCCTTCACATCTTGCACAATCCAGTAGGCTTGAGTCTAACAGCCTTCAGTCTCCTGGATGGGGTTCTTCGCAGCCGAGTGCGCGGGATCTCCAAGACTGGGAAGTAGAAGATTTTGTGCTACTGGCGACCGTTGATGGAAGTGTGTGGGCGCGCGATAGAAAAACGGGTAAACATAAATGGCGAATGCGTAAGTAGTCCGAATGAAGGCGTATTGGTTGCTGCTCGATTCCGCATCATAAGAACAATCACTAATCCTGATGAATATCCACAGAATTACCCGAAGTCTCGATGATTTCCACCAAACATCATAAGAGAAACAAGTCTGCCGATTTCAATGAAGCTCCAACCCCATGGGGTATTGACGATTATGTTTGGATTGTTGAACCCACTGAACATGGTGGTTTATGGATATATCGACCGGATGTTCCGAACGGTGGCCTGATCAACACAGGTTTAACAATGAAGAAATTAGTCGACGAAATGTCACCTTACCAGAGTGACGACCCCGAAGTCGTATACACTGGTTCGAAGAAAACTCAAATGGTGCATGTTGATGCCACCAATGGAAAAATATTACAGGTCTTTGGAGGAGATTACATTGTTGATGCAAAGGATCAGAGCTGTAGTTCTGAAAATGGATTTGTGGGAAGAGAAGCTGACGAATGTCAAAACCCTACGATTTGGTTGGGGTTATCAAAATACGAAGTCAACATCGTTGGCAAGGACCAACACCCAATTGCTACTTTAATGTACAATGAATGGGGACCTAATGTTCAAGACGCGAAGAAATATGGAGACAAATACCACCAAACACTCGACAACAAATACATACTAGCTGGGCAGGATGGCCACGTGATGGGATTCGATCGTGAGCGGAACAATGATCACGAACTACTGTTCCAACAGAAGCTTCCTTCACCTGTCGTTAGGGTATTTGACATCTTTAGACCCTGGGGAATTGAAGAAAAGAACCTGAAATTGATGATACTTCCACAGCCTAAGCCCGAGTTGTCGGCTGAAAACGAAATGTCAGAAACAGACCAGCATCGAAATCGAGTTGTTATCAACCTTTCTAAAGATGGAAGTTTTTATGCTATGTCTGGAAAATCATATCCTTTGGCTGTAACTGGTTCCAAAGCCGAAATTTACCAACGTGAATCGTTGAAACGCGAGTCTTGGAAAAAGATGGGTCAGCCCGAGCTAGCGGCGGCGCTGACTGGTGTTCATTTTCTCGACGAACCAACCGAACCTCGTCTGACCATATCTGCTCCCTTATTCGAAGATGACAACCAAAGCAAAGTGACTGTCACAGACCTCACCCCAGAACTTCTTGGTGAACCAACCCTGTTACAGAGCTTCCAGCAAATCCCAAGGCTAGCGATTGACAGTGTCGTCGAATTTGTTAAAAATCCTGTTCTCATTCTTTTTTTGATGATACTGGTTATCTCGAACCAAAGAGCAATACGAGCTTGGATCGGCCGCCATGGACTTCACAATAAAAAATCTGTCGTTTCGCACAAAGATCGACCTGTAACTAAGGACGTGCAACCAATCGACGATTCAAGCGACGATGCTACAAACGTCAATAGTCACGAGGCCGCCCGTCTATCAGTTATTCCGGAAGACAAACCTCTTCGTGAAACTACCCCTGTTGTTAAGGATTTCACATCTCTCCCGGACGTTCCTGAAGACACTGTTGCGGTTGTGCCACTTGAGGGTACTACTGTGAACGACGCTAGCTCATTGTCAGAGACTGTGCAAGATGTTGGCGATCTCGCACTATCACCCGAAAAGAAAAGAAGGAAACGAGGACGACGCGGTGGCGTTAACCACCGAGGGAAGAAAGATCGTCCAGGTCAAACTGGAAGTGACCAAGAATCTCAAAATGCTCCCGTCAAAAAGCTACCCCCAACTGTTGAAGATGCCGTGCACAATGTCAAAAATATGTTTCCCCAAAACACACTCGAACCTGACATTCAGACGGTGTCTAATGACCCTGCGGAAGTTTCTGGTTCCAAAATTCGTATTGGGGCATTGGAAGTAGACCAAAACAAATTAGTCGGGACGGGTAGCAATGGTACCATGGTCTTTGAAGGGAAGTTTGACGGTCGCGCTGTCGCTGTAAAGCGGATGCTCATTCAATTTTATGACATCGCATCCCAAGAAACTAAGCTTTTAAGAGAAAGTGACGATCATCCAAATGGTAACTTTTCCAAAGTCTCCCTTGTATTCATTCTCTAACATTCTAATAGTCATCCGGTACTTCGCACAACAGAGCGCTGCTGGATTCCTTTATATCGCCTTGGAGTTATGCCCTGCCTCGTTGAGCGATGTCATTGAAAAGCCACACCTACACAGAGATCTGGCTCAAGGTGGTGAAAAGGACCTTCCAAACGTACTCTATCAGATTACCAATGGTATCCAGCACCTCCACAACCTCCGTATCGTTCATCGTGATCTAAAGCCACAGAACATCCTAGTTGCCATGTCTAAGAATGGTAAACCTCGGCTTCTCGTTTCAGACTTCGGTCTATGCAAAAAACTGGAAGTGGAACAGTCATCATTCAGGGCTACTACTGCCCATGCGGCCGGTACATCTGGCTGGCGGGCTCCGGAACTTCTTCTTGACGATGATGACAAGCCAGGATCCATGGTTGACACGAGTACAGATGGTGGTGGGTCAGGCTCAATTCTTGTTGGCTCGGATATGATGCACAATCGCAGAGCTACACGCGCTATCGATATATTCTCTCTTGGATTGGTATTCTTCTACGTTTTAACCAAAGGTAGCCATCCTTTCGATTGTGGCGATCGGTACATGCGGGAGGTGAATATTCGCAAAGACAATTTCGATTTGGATCTCCTGGAAGTCCTTGGAGATTACGCCTTCGAAGCTAAGGACCTAATCAGTTCCATGCTTCGCAAGGAGCCAAAATCTCGTCCAGTTGCAGCACAGGTTATGGCGCATCCTTTTTTCTGGTCTGCAAAGAAGCGATTGAACTTCCTTTGTGATGTCTCTGACCACTTTGAAAAGGAAAAGCGGGACCCTCCCAGCCCTGCCCTCTTAGAACTTGAGAGATGGGCCGGTGACGTCTGTCACGGCGATTTCTTAAAATCGCTTGGAAAGGAGTTCGTGGATTCGATGGGCAAACAGAGGAAGTATACCGGTACGCGACTTTTGGATCTTCTTCGAGCCCTGAGGAACAAAAAGAATCACTACGAAGACATGCCTGACAAGCTGAAGAAAGATGTCGGTCCCTTACCTGACGGTTACCTCAGTTTCTGGACTAGGAAATTTCCTAACTTATTGATTGTCTGTTGGAACGTTGTGTACGAAGTGGAGTGGGATCAGGTGGATCGTTTCAAGGAATACTATGAGCCAGCAGGTCTTTGAGATGCTCGTGTTTTTGGTGGTTGTATCATTATTCATGGCGCAAAGGACTATAAAATGGGTTATTATACCTCTCTCTTTTGGATAATGAGATCATGATCAATACCCCGCTGGAAATGAAGGGGTTTCTATATACATCTGGTGATGATTTGTGAAAAATATTAGTAGCAATCATTTCTTTTATTATGACCATTGTAATTATTTGCCCTTTCAATGACATATGCATGAGGTGCCATTTTAGAAGCACTTGATGAGTGTGGTGATGCATGATAGCCATGATTTTATTTTGAGAGATCTATCCACCTATCTAGGTATATAGAACCAGGTAGAAAGTAGGGTGAGTTATGATGAAGAAAACAACCTATCATAGTAGTTGTATTTGCTTCATCAATGCCTACCTAGGTATTTATCTCACAATTGAGTGTATACACTATTTCTTGTAATTATCAATTGAAGTAATCCCAACACAGGTGTATTCTTTCAGTTGGTACTTCAGTGTCAGACATGTCGAATTCAAGAACAAAGGCATGAAAACACACATACAAAACGAATGTCTCCATAAACTTTATGTGTACCTGTACCTACCTAGGTAGGTAGGTAGGTAGGTAGATCTACGAGGTACCTACATCCCGGAGCTAATGATAAAGGCTTACCTAGTGGTAAAAGGCTAGGCTTGGGCTAATCCTTGCATTCTCGTCGCATCATCATCTGGGCAGCTTTCCAACGAGACAACAATTGATAAACAAAAAAAACTTCAAAGATTTCCTTCATACATTCATACTGTGATACTCATGCCCATAAGTTTTAGTAGTCGTTTTGATCATAAATTTATTAAACACCATTCAAATCAACCTTCAAAATCATCCTAGATATATATCTAATTCACCATTATCTTTTGGAGTGGAATCTCTTTATTCATTCTTTTACTTTCTTGTGGTCAATTTTGTTAATGCGACAACAATAACAATAATATTCCAACATCAGACTTATTAGCAGACCGGCAGATGAAAACCCCATCTTTCTATCTTCACTGCAACTAAAAGAGGTCTTCTAATCATTTTGCCTATTCTGCTTCGGTTTGAGATTCACTCATTCACTTGATACCAATTGTATTTTGCTATCTTCCTTATCCCCCAGGATTTCCTCTTCTATCCATCCCATATCCCCTCTCTCGCAGGTAGCACAACTTCTAGAATCTGATATTGGTACAAGAGTTTTCCAACCAACAACACAATGTCTTGTAAGCCCATCCACGATATGAATCTACCTAATATCTAACATACCACTAACTTCATTGAAAGTAACCTCGGAAGAAAATTCGAAATATTCCATAATCATTGATAGAATTCTCAAAGAGGGTGATCTCAGTACTATCTCTGCGAAACAGATTCGTAAGGATCTTCAAGCAGAATTGGGATTTGATCTTTCCCATCAAAAAGTAATGCTATTTCTACAATCTCACATTTTCATGGTGCTAACTCCTGTCCTTTAAGGATGCCGTTAAAGCTTTGATCCTGGAAAGATTTGACGAAGTCTCGAAACACACTCAGGATGCATCTACCCCTCCACCTGCAACCAATGGACATGCTAAGAGCGAACACATCAAAGATGAAGGATCGCAGACTCCCACCTCAAAGCGCGAAGTTGATGGTTCCGACGAAGATGAGAAGCCCAAGAAGAAGAGACCGAAGCAGGACGATGATGCGAAGTTGGCGGCTCTACTACAGGCGCAAGAAGACAGCAGGTCAAGATCGACTAGAGGAGGTGGAACGAAACGAAGCGCAGGCGTTAAGAAGAGCAAGAGTACACCAAAGAAAAAGAAATCTTCAGCAAAGGTCAAGGCAACAGATGATAGTGACATCGAGTTAGGTTCAGATGGGGAGCCTAAAGAGGTCGTCAGAAAGGGCGGGTTTCACGTAAGAAGCTGCTCTATATTTAAAGAATTTTGCACAAGTAACTAATTTCGAACAGAAGCAATACAATCTATCGGCAGCTTTGGCAGATCTAGTAGGGGAACCAACAGTACGTATCGCTGTCTAATTACCATCCTCTCATACTAATATGTTCCAATAGTTGTCTCGGCCACAAGTTGTCAAGAAGATTTGGGAACATATCAAAAGTCTTAATCTTCAAGATCCTAGCGATAAACGACAAATTATATGCGATGATAAGATGCAATTGGTTTTCAAAACGGAGAGAGTTCATATGTTTACCATGAATAAGCTTCTTGGTAAACAGCTGTACCCTGTTGAGGAGGAATAGGATACTTCAGTCATTGGGAGTATGGTGATAACACGGTCGTTTCTCGTTTTCCATGAGGGCGTTTTGGGGAAGGCATTGCATTGAAGTTTTGGGTATCTAACTAGGTACTCGTAGGTAAGGGACGGCATGAGTGAATCCCAAGTTTTCGGGACCGCCAGCTCAGAATTATCTTTATTCGTTAGGGACAGCGTCTTTATGGGGATTTTAGATGTATGAATCATCTATCATTGACTAATAGACCCAAGAATCTGTCTCACAGTGACTTTGAATTTTATTTGTTTATAGTTTCCATGTAAATTCTTCGGGGTGACTCTAACCGTTGATTTATCAGCCTTGAACGGTCACCCAGCAGCCTTGCCTTGCGTAGGCGGGGCTAAGCGATTGCAGGCCCCCACACCCTCTCTGTATAATAATTTGTCTTGGTTGCTGTAGCTCTTAGAGGCAAATCAACAGTTGATTTGCAAAGGAATTATTCTTATTTACACCAGGAAGCTTCAAATCTACCCCTCAGAAAGTGTCAGCTTTATTATTACAATAAAAGCATACTAGAGTCACAATTCGTGCATCAAGACTTCACATCACAGAACGCTATAAACATCACAGTAAATTGGCAATGGCGTCCACAGCCGGAATTCCTTCTACAGCTGACGCTTCTGCGCTGCCCCGCAACGATGGGCAGCGGGGCCCAAGAGGAAGAGGAAGGGGTCGCGGTCGAGGAGGGGCTCTGGGAGATTCCGGCAGCGATTCTAGACGTTCGGAAAACCGTGGAGGGAGACGAGGGGGTCGTGGTGGGAATAGGGGACACACGGCTAGCCACGAAACTGCCAATACAAATACCAATACCATGAACTCTACAGATCCCAACGCTAAATTCTCCACCCAGAAGAAATTGCCCAGAGCAGATGGCGAAAACAAGGACGCAAATGGGGAACCGGTTGAAGTAGAGGTATGCTTCATTTGCGCCTCGGACGTCGAACATAATGCTGTCGCCCCATGTAACCATCGCACATGCCATATTTGTGCTTTAAGGATGAGAGCACTATACAAGTCGAAAGACTGCGGCTATTGTAGAGTGAGTCCCGCTGTTGCCGACTTCATCAAACCAGGCTAATATCTTCCAAGGCACCCTCGCCATTTGTTATATTCACAGACAATGCGACTAAAAATTATGAAGACTTCTCCGACGAAGATATTTCGAATACAGACCCAAACATTGGTATTCGATATGAAAGTAACGATATTCAGGAGGATACCCTATTACTTCTGCGGTATAATTGTCCTGATCCCGATTGTACTACTGCATGTAGAGGCTGGCCAGATTTGCATCGTCATGTTAGATCTATACATCAGAAGAAAATGTGTGATTTGTGTACGAGACATAAAAAAGTCTTCACCCACGAACACGAATTATTCGCAGACAAAGAGCTCGAAAAACATATGAGGAAAGGAGATGATAACCCTGGAGCACTCGATCAGACTGGATTCAAAGGGCATCCTCTATGTTCGTTCTGTGGTCAACGATTTTATGGTGATGATGAGCTATTTTTGCATTGCCGAGACAAGCATGAAAGATGCCATGTCTGTGATCGACAGAGTAATAACGGCCAACCACATTATTACGTTGATTATAATTCCCTGTCTCAACATCTACGAAAGGACCATTTTCCTTGCAATGAACCGGAATGCTTGGAGCAGAAGTTTGTATTCTTTGCAACGGAGATGGATCTAAAAGCACATCAATTAGAAGTCCATGGAAGTAGTTTATCTAAAGACGTTCGCAGAGATGCGAGGACGGTTGATATTTCTACCTTTGAATATCGCCAACCATATTCACAAGAGCGCAACCGCGGAGGGAATCAACGAGAGCAACGAGAAGGCCGTGGTAGAGGCAGAGGCAGAGACCCAAATGCTGAACCATTGGCACCTTCCAGTGCACAACCCTTACGTCGGGAAGAGCAGGCTTTCCAGCGTCAAATGGCTGTGCAAGGCGCTCAGGCTGGTTCATCGAGAGCTTTCGGTGGTCAATTGACGGCACCTACCCCTGCCCAAGCTAGTGCCAGAGTCAACCCGGCAGAATCCTCACGGGCTGCTTCCGCTCGACCTGCAGCTAATGCCGGGGGTCTTTCCGAAGCAGTCAGGGGGCTGGATATATCTGCACCAGAATTAACAGCCGAAGAACAACGCAAGCAACTTCAACATCAAGATGTTATTGATAGAGCGACTCGACTTTTACAGAATGACCAAACGAAGCTAAATCAATTCCGCAACTCCATATCTTCGTACAAGAATGCTGGGATAACTGCTTCTGCCCTCATCGATGCATTTTTCGCTCTATTTTCAGACACTACTCCGGCTGCCCTCGGCTCGCTTATCCGTGAAGTGGCCGCTCTTTTTGAAGACCAGAGTAAGGGGAAGGCAATAGTTACTGCTTGGAATGATTGGCGTGCAATAAATGAAGATTATCCGTCTCTTCCAGCTCCTACTTCCAGCAACGGTAATTCCATACCTTTAGGGTGGGCATCCGCAAATTCCACTTCTTCATCTGGCCCACGATCTAATCGTGTGCTGAAATTGAAAAAGTCCACCGCACAATCCTCCCGTTCAACCGTCTCACAAAATCGGTCCTGGGGCACTGCTTCAACATCTGCTTCCACCTCATCACCTGCCCCATCCTCTTCAAATCAGTATAATAATCCCTTCCCAACTCTCCCTACATCCCGTCCAAATCAAACCGACTCCCGTATAACAACTACACCTTGGGTTGCACCGACTCCTGCAACCTCCTCTTCTTCCGCACCCCCATCTGCACCTTCTAGTCGAGCACCTTCACGCGCACAAGCAAGGAACGGAAAGGACACAAGTGCCTTCCCAGCGTTGCCTCCGGCTGCCAAACCGCAAAGTACTATATTTGGGTACGGCACGGGGATGGTAAGGAGGGATATGGGAGGTAGGCCGGTTGCGACTGCATGGGGAGCAGGAAATGGTGAAGGGAGTTCGGGGACTGGAGACGCGGAGAGTGCGGATGCTGGGCAGGGAGGAAGGAAAAAGGGAAATAAGGGGAAAAAGCAAGTTTTGATGAATTGGGGTTAAATGTTCGAATGCTGAGTATTGAGTCATTGGCTGAGTAATGGGTTAGCAGCAAGCAGTCGTTATTGCTGTGACTTGGAAGAGTAGATATGATAAGATGAAGTTAGATGATAGTCTCGGGACTGTTTTTGTACATGGTTCATCCTGTGGTGTGGTTGGTAGGACTATAGATAGGCATTTTATTCACGGACGAATAAGTATAGAAAATCTTCAATGTTGCATGAATGAGAGTTTGACTTGTGATTGATTGATTGATACTTGACGGTGTGGTAGGTTGGAACGGAATGCTGAGAGGTCGTCCTATTGTCTCCGGGTGGTCTCTGGTGGATTTTGCTCGTACGTGTGAGTTTCTCAACTAATGTTTGCATCCTTCTACAGCAACAGTGATTTTCTAGACTCGGGTGTGGTATGTATGTATGTATCACTTGTGGTAGATTTAGGAGGGGGATGTTCATACTACCTGGTTCATACTACCTGGTTCATACTTGATGCGATTTGGATATTCTGTGGTGATGTAGAGATTGATGTTGAGTGTGAGGTATTGTTGCAGGTAGGTAGGTAGGTAGGTAGGTAGGTGAGTAAGTGGATGGGTGTTTGGTTTTGAAAATTGATGATTGATGATTGATGATTGATGATTGATGATTGATAATGGTTGGGGATGGGGATGGGGTTGTGTAGATGATTGAGGGTGCTGAGGGGGGTTAGGGTTGAAGTGGATTTGAGTGGAGTGAAGAAATTGGTAATGGAGTTGAGGGATTGGAATGGAATAGGGGGTTGGAATGGATAGATTAGATTAGAGGAGATTAGATGGAGGTGATGTGGTGAATAAATGGGGAAATTAGGGAGTGGGAGTGGGAGTGAGAGATGGAGGTAAATAGGTGGGTGGACAGGTAGACAAATAGATATCTAAATATCAATGAGTGATGAGTAATTAGAGCAGATTGAAGCGGGAAGAAAGTATGATGAAAAAGTATACAGAGTGTGAAGAATATATGAATACATAAGGAGGATAGGGAAGAGGTGGTGGTTTGGCATGATAGTGTAAAGTTAGAGGTTGGAGATTGGAGGGGGGAGGGGGGGAGAGGACTTGGGATTGAAGACTTGGGATTGAAGGAATGATATGGAGATTTGATAGGGAGATTGTAGGAGTGGGTGTTGGTATACTGTATAGTGTATATAAAAATTAGATTGTGGGTTTGAGGGGTGGAGGAGAAGGAGAGAGAGAGGAGATACGATATCAGATGGACATTGAACATTGAATATTAGTAGATTGGAGGATGAGAGTTTGGGGTTCGAATTGGAATTAGAATTAGAATTGGAATTTTGACTGTGACGAGCAAGAGCGGGAGTTTTGTGATTGTGAGACATATGGAGAGATCATGTTATATCATCGTACAGTAGATTGAGCCATTCAAAAGAAGAGGATGCTAGGAATACGAGAATAGGAGGCAAGTCATGAGTTGTGAGTCGGGGTCTCGGTAGTGATAGTAATGTGTATGTAAAAGTAGAGAAGGAAGAAATACTTATCAGTATCAATCATCCTCGATACACTCTCCTGAGTAGACAAGTTGTGTGTTCTGAATTTCTCAGTGTTTGATCCATATTTAGATTTTAATCGTTTATTGGCTCTATGAAGATCTGTCTACTTGCTACAGAGGTGAGTTACATAGAGATGTCTTGAGGATGTTGTTGAATTCAACTTTTATATCATCTTACGGTCTCCGTCCCGCAACATCTTGTAGTAGAGTGAAGGCCTTCGAGCTCGCGGGTTGGGTTTGAGATTCGTTGGGTAGTGTTATGTAGTACGATTGGATGAAGATGGTGAAAGGAAGATGTGGGGAGTCGACAGTATGAGTAGTGTAGGGAAAAAACTGTGGGTTGAGTTCGAACTGGGATTTTGAAGAGTGATTGTG